GTCTTGGTGGTAGCACTTGAATGTGTATTCATTGCTGCAAGTTCAACGCAACATGTTCTGCAGCGCCGAGCGAGGGTTGCACATACTCAGGAGAAAAGGCGGAATTCGGGCTGCTACGGTTGTTAGTGTGATCTGGAATGGAATGACCAGATTGTGATGTTGAATGAACCTGCCTGACGTGGAGACCTGCACAAGTGGTTGCTGGTCTGTCCAAACGCCAAATTCCACTGCAGGCTATCTCGAACAACACTTACAACCAGTCCTAGGAAGGCTCTCAACAAGCTCCACCTCGATTTAGGCTCAGCAAGCCGCAACACAAAAGGACCTCTAGCCTGCGTTGGGCGCTTTGAATACACTCAATCCTGACTTAGCGCCATGTTGCGTGGTGTAGGCTTGGAATGGGCACACATAAGGCCAGCACCAATTGCATTGCCGAGACACGTCCGGTATTCTGCTGCGAATCTGGCTGAAGAGTCACCAGCCACGTCTTAGGTCAATTGCGAACCACGGCATCAGTGTGAGGCGGGCTGCTCATGACCATTCAAGCCAACCAAGCATGCCTTGTTGGAGCCTTGCATATCCCTTCGTGCGCACTGGCGCACTGCTGTTGGCTGCTGCCGCTCAGAACGGCTCAAAATTCAGAGCCCCGCTTGGGACTGTCACTGGCCTTCCCCTGCCGTGGCTTGTCCTTCTGTCAGCAAAGCGAACCAGTAAACCGGAGTCGGCATCTTACGTGGGGGTTTTAGATTCGTCGTAGATGGTGTTGGCCGCATAGCATGCGCTTGCTGAGCCTGTGCCTGTGAGGCCTGATGCATTAGGGTGGCAATGGCAGCGAGAAGGATTGATCCAGAGGATGGCAAGGCGCAAGAGGTCAATCAGCAAGCGCGCACAACTAGCGATGTTGAATGTCGGCATGCAGGCCCGCACTTTCGATGAAGTTGTCCAGAGATACCAGTCCGCATGGATCTCAGAAGCGCGTTGTGTCTTGCACGCTAACCTCCTCAATCCTTCCTGCCTTAGCACGCCTTAGGAGTACACAATGCAGCAAGTTGCTGACTCAGCTAGCCGCATGTTTTCTTGGAAAAGGACCAGAGCTGAGCTGCCAATGTCTGCTGTGCGATTTTTATCTGAGGTGCAGGACTACTGGGACAGACAATGCAAACCGGTGGGCCCCAGTTGCGCCTCATACTTTCTCGAAGCGCATGCTTGCAGAGGTGCCAGCAGACCCATTCTTGACACAGTTGCAGAGCGGCCAAGGAGGGCCAGGGGCTTAGGTGATTTATCATCCTCTCTTTGCCTCTGAACCCTGCTGCAATCATAGGCTGTAATGTCAAAGGATCTGCCAGGATGTGCCCAATCAGGATGGGTTGCCTTGGCCTTCTGGGCCTTTGCAATCATGCCATCGTTTTGGCAGGCGGCTATCCCCAAAGTGTCATAGAACTGCCTCTTTCAAGCGCAGCAACCTTGCGGTTGCACACGCGCATTACGTAATTTGTTGAAGTGGATGCAGCTTGAGGCCACGCTACGGCCCTCAAGCAGGCGTTTATGGGCAGCCAGAAGCTGACAACACTGCAGCAACAACAGTATATCTTGCATGCCCTCTTGCGTGGCTGTCAGGCCCGACCAGCCACCAACTGCGCCAGCAACGCAGGCTAGACCTCGTGCCTTTGCAGTGCGCATTGTTTATTGCCTGGCATTTGTCAGGTGCATCTCGGGCAGGTGAAACTTGCAGAGGATCCTTTCATCGCTGCAGGCTTCAGCATGCAGGGTCCTGCAAGAGCCCTGGTTCCTGGTGCAAGCACAGGGTGGATGTGGCCGGCAGTTCAACAGACCTTGTCAAATTGTTTGCTAACCATACGCACCTCCGTTTGATACCAGCGTCCCTGTCTGTCTCACGTAGCTGCGAAATCCTGACTTCTGATATACCATGGTCACCATGGTCTGAAGCACTTTGAAACAGAATTGCCACCACCCATAGCACAGTTGAAATCCGAAAGCAGCGGGGTTGCAAAAAGGGGCGGGGCTGCATGGCAATCCGGGGTTGGCACTTTCCATGCATTCGACTACACGACTGCAACTTCTACCGGTAGCAAAATGTGTGAAAGCTGAATTAACAAGCAAGCTTTTGCAGGCCATTCGTGGCTGCTTCCAAGTAGGGACGGAACGCGGAAGGAAGCCGACATCATTGGCACAACATCCATTCTTCATCCTTTTGAAGACACATTGGCCAGCACGCACGCGCGCGCGCTCGCGCGTAAGGCTTGGTGTAGCTCCTTGAAGAAAAGCCCGGCAATGACACTTCTCCGAAAAATGCTCAGGATCCCACGTTCTGCTGGTTGTTCAGTATTATAGCACGTGTGCATTCCAAATCACGAGGCCCTGGATCGCGCGCCCATTGAGACTCCACCGGAGGCTCAATTCTCAATGGGGGAGGCAGACCAGATTACTGATCAGAAGCTATAGTAGTAGGGAATGTTGTGCTGTGCCGCTGTTTGCAAGGATTGAAGTGAGAACTTGCAAGTCTTGCAGGATGCTCTGAGAGAAAAGCAGCAGGTCCTGCATTCCACTCAGCACTTCAGCGGCCTGTGAAAACATGACCCTTGTTGATGCAGCCACGACAAGGTACGAGGCCGCCTACTCCTTTTTAGGTGCCGGCGATGCCGATCGGCAACCTCGTGCGACGGATTCTTAGTGCTTCGTGATGCGGCGGTCATTTGCAATCATGACACATGCATGCTTTCCATCCAGGCGGACAATCCTTGTTCTTGTTCCCGTTCTCATATTCCTTTGGGCCGGCACCTCGAGAAGCGGGAAGACATTAGCACGGGCATGCCAAAGCAAGTGCTGCATTGATTCAGGAGATGATCATATGGACTCTGCTGGCTCACATCTCCAGCAACGCATGCTGGCTGCGCAGTGCCCAGAAAGATGTGTGCATTGAGTTGCTCCGAAGGCAGGCACTTGCACAGATTTTGGCCTGGCAAGCTCACAGGATGACAGTGGCACTCTCTGTGGTTTCTGGAGCTGCGATCACCATGTGGTTCTATGGCATGCGTGCTCACCCAAGCAGTCAAACTGCACTGTGTGCTGTGGCATGAGATCTCATGAGCTGTTATCTTGAGCTCAGGCTGGGGACCGGTGTCACTGGCAGCCCTGGGATTCCTTTGCGCTGCGGCCATTGCTATGGGAACAGCACTTGGCCAGCAAGGCGCTTCTCAAAGCAAGACCACACTGCAATCCTCCAATCTGTTCCTGCGTTCTACAAGAAAGCGGACTGAAGGATGGGACCAGCACTGGCGGCAGTTCTGGTGGATGAATATAGGGTTGGGCTCTTGTGGTGACGCTGTGCCGGAGCATGCAAGCCTTCCGAAGCACGGTCGTCCGATGCTGAGGCAACAGGACGTCCCGCAGCAAACTCAGAGCAAGTTATGTCCCACGCGATATTCCAAGATTTTGCTGGGACCTATCACAGGACCGTGGCAGCAACGCCAGCCGGAGCTCGGTCCGTCCACGTCTCAGTAAGCCGCTGTAAATGCCAAGCAGCTTTGCTTGCACCAAGCCGGGGTTGGTGATGGAATGTCACGGAAATCTGTCACATTTAAAGCGTGTTTCAGTGTGGGTCATCATGTTCGCACGTCGAAGTGGCTCAGGATGCTGCGACGCTGGCCTTTCGAGGGGCCGGGCTGCAGTCTGGAGCGGCTTACACGGAGGTCCGACTACGACCTTCCCGCCTGACAGGCCAATGGGACTCTGGACCACACTTCGGTGGATTCCAGTCGATCTGTTGGCTTCAAGGATTGCAGCTTTAATTCTAACGACGGCAAAGCCATGACCCGCGAATCCAGTAAAAGTTCAGGACACGCAGCTGTTCTGCGTAGCCCCTATTCTCAGCCGAATCCTTAGCGTCAGTGCAGACATGAATCTCTCTCAAGCCTCGTACCCTCCACCAGGTCCGGACACAGCTGGAGCCGACTTCCCCAGGGTGAATTATTGGGCGGTGACCCTGCTGCAAGCTTGAGCTAATGCCTACCATTGTCTTCAGCGGGCTGACCGAAGATCATTCGTTTGCATGCACAAAGCAATTCCAAGTGTCCGGACCGTTCCATAGGGGTCCCCGTCGTTTGGGAGTTGGAGGAAGGAGAGAGAGGGAGGAGAGAACGAGAGGGAGGAGAGGGCGAGGGAGAGGGAGCAGGGATAGGAGAAGGGTGGAGGCTGGGAGAGACTTCGGAGAGATGGAGAATGAAGCACGAATCAGACAGAAGAGCCAGGAGTCGCGCAAATGGAATAAGCACGCACATTCGTTGAAACCCTTCCCTTTCTATCTTTTTGCCTTCAAAGTAAAGGAAGAGCACCCTCTGCAGAAAAGGAAACTAGGGAAATCCAGGTTGAATTGTATTTCAAACCACCCGCGCTTGCAATTGGAGGAATGCCACGATGCAAGGAACATGATGTAAACACACATTGATGCGAAGACCATCTCATCTGCGCATTGGAAAAGGGGTAGCAGCGCAAAGAGATACCCAAGCAGAGACCAATGTAAAGAAACGCCCCACCTCCGCCTTGTTTGGCAACGAATAGCCCGCAATTTCTGCCACACGAAGACTGAGATTGCAGAGTTTGGAGCGGCAACATTCGCTGCGTGTTCCACAAGTCCAACTGAAGCCTGTAGATGCGTCTCACCACTTCGTGGCTGCTATCTGATTCCTCGAAGTCTTTCGTTCCGTGGACGCCCGCCACTGACACAACTCTTTGTGTCTTTCGGCGAGCCCTTTCGTCCGACTCACTCCGCGACCGAGAGAGGGAGAGGAGGAAGAACGTCTTCCGTAGTCGGGCCACATGATGTGTGGCTACTTTCGGATCCATGGCTGCTGTTGGATTTTATCATATGCGGGGTGCCGTCGCCTCTATGCTGTGTGTCACACCGAGGTTGGCATCGATTGCTGCAGCAAGCGAGATTCTTGAAGAGTTCTGCAAAACATGGGTTGTTGTCATCATTGAAGCTCATGCGCCTCCCAGGTCAGGCTCATTCTCCTGTGATGGCGTCAGTGCCTGACATCTTGCTTGTCATCAGAAGCCCCAATCGATGCACATCAGCATGAGAAAGATGCTTGCTAAGTCACGGGACTACGATGCTGGCCATGGTGTCGGCAGCTTTCACTTGCTTTGTTTGTAGCACTGCCGATATGCATTCTGTGCTGCAGACTGCTCCCCGGTCTGACTGCAAGTTGGTGACAAAGGTTGTGCAGCTTTCAGGCGGCTTCCCATGTCCAAGCCTGGTGCTGATGATTCTCTCAATACAAGAAAGCACGTCTGAAAGATCACTAGTGCGCCTGCATGCCGTGTCAAACGACCTGTGAAGACAAGTCCTGAAATGTTTTGCCGAGGCTGCAATGTTGAATCTTTCCAGAAAGCTATCGCAAAGGCAGAAGCTACATATGGCCTTGCCATGAGCCCGGCAAGAAAACAAAGGGATTCGATGCATTTTGGTGAGTGATTTTCTGCCCTCCTGGCTGCTGCACAAGGTCAGCGCACCGGATGCCTTGCTAGTGCAATGGGTCAAGCATGCTTCAAGCACAAAGACAGTACCTGAGTGGCTGAGCGTTTGCATTATGAACATGAGACATTTGATCTTCTGATTGCCCGAGGATGCACGCTGGGGCGCGAGCAGTTGGCTTCCTCCTGCTTTGCATGGCATTCGGTGCCTTGGAAGCAGTCCTGCTTCAAACCTGTCATCCATCTAAACCTGCACAGATGTACAGGGGTCCCAGCCACCTTTTCGGATGTCCCTGGAATGGCAGTTTGCTTCATTGATAGGCTTGCATTTCATGAACCCCAAATTGAGATACAACCTGCGAAGCCTTAGCATTGCCCTAGCCCCTGAGCCCTTCACCGAAGACCACACAAGCTAAGAAGCTTTCTTTGGCTCAGGCAGCCTCTTTCTCTTCATCCTCGGCTCCACTGCATGGTGCGCTGCCCATTTTTTGAATCTTGAATGTGTCTTGTTGCGGGAGCATTGCGAGCAAGAGGGGCCGGCATTACATCTGGTTCCACGCGCCGCAGCGCACGGGAGTGCAGCTCGAGATTGAGCCCAGAGTAGCTTAATCTCCAACCCAAAACGCAAAGCGAGTGGGAGGGGTCTTCGTCTGAAGGTTTGGGGGTGGCATGTGCCAGTGAACCTCAACACCAAAAGCCGCATGAGCTCATGGTGAGCATGCCAAGAGGAAAGGAGATCTGAATGCCGTAGGGCGTTGTGTGCGGGCCGAGACATTGTCGATTCTGCCTCAAAGTGGAAAAACAGATGGCCTAAGCCAGTACTGGTTCTCCAGGTACTACGGCGTGGGCAAGAAGACGCCGAGTGGCTACGGGCTTCCTCGTGGCGAGGTGCGATGTCGAATTCAAGACAAATATGCTCACGGTTCTCAACCCGACTGTTGTGGCCAAGATGTTGGCTTTGAAGTGCAGCGATCCGGTTCATGTAACTAAGTTAGCCAAGAGGTTTGCTTCAGCGGTGCCTGTAAGACTGCAGGAAATACCAGAAAGCTTTTGCGCGGCCTTGTCTGTGAAAGGACACGGCGGAAGCCAGAGCGAAGCGATTGCAGTGAGCATCCTGATGCTGGTGGTAACCGCCACTGTTTCACAGACTCTGAGAGCGCAGCGGAATCTGTGTTGCCACGGTCTTCCCTTGATCACCTTACGGCACCCCGCTTGGCCCCCTCGAAGCGGGCCGGAAAACCTATCAGCCATTGTTTCTTGCTAGTTCTTGCTGTGTTGCTTGCCGAGCATCCCTGCCTTCTTGCTCCTTTCATCCATGTGATGGCACCTATAAGCCATGGCGCAGGCACCTGGCAGGTGCGATTCAGAAAAGGGCTTGTGCCAGCCTCAGCAATTCCAAAGTTGTTGTGCTGGTTGTTTTAGTTTCCCGCGTTCGGCTTTGGGTGCAGCACCCCGAAACAATTTCCGTTTCATATCAATGCGACTTCGGTGCAGCCAAAACGTTACTTGTGGCAGCCCGCACTGTTGTGTGTCATTCGGCGGCGAAACCAAAGGCAAAGGTGTCCTAAAAGTCTTCATTCGGCAGTTCGCATGCCAGCAGCCACGTCCACTGGCAATGTGCAATGGATTCAAGTCTTTCTTCCTTGGGCTTCCCTTTTAGACGCTGCTGATGCCCGATTGGGTTGTCTGCATCAACTGGAATCTGCTGTCATAGGTGCTTCTATGATAACCAAGAAAACGGTTACCCCTGCGACGATGGCATCTTCTACACGCTCAACGACTCATGCCAAGATGGCTTCTGCGAGGGCATCGCCGATTTCTGCCTAGGGCGCCCTGCGGACTGCTGGCATGCATGATGTGTCACAGTGGTTTTTGCCTCTGCTATAGCTACAGGTACAACGTGTCCTGCGAACCGCTGAGTTCATGTCTGACTGGAGGGGAGTGCTAGAACCTGAGACACGCTTAGCTTTCAACAGTATGTTCCTGCTGCAAGCAGATGTATTTAGGCCATCTCGCTCTGATGCAGGCCATCCATCCACCGGCCGTTGTACTTATGACAAGCTGCCGGATGAAACACCTTGCAGCCAGTCTGCACAGCATGCGTTGACCATAGGTTTGTGTCTATCTCTCCAGTATTCCTGTTGCGCATGCCTCACTAGCTTGCAGGACATGTCTTCATGTTTTGCGAAGGTGACGACGGGCGGCAGTTCACTGTGCAGGAGCCCGGGCCCGCTCCTTTGGGAGAGAAGGGCGGAAGTAGCATGGGTCCTGATGTCTTCCCTGGTCACGAACCCTGATTTAGGCAAGAGGGGAGTGCGCAAAGTGATGTCTTGCCAGAGGACATGTGCCAGAACGGCTTGTGCGTAGGCGAGGCTGAACGGCCGCGCCATGCTTTGCAGAACGCCAGCTATTTCTGAATGTTTCTGCATCGCATAGAGGCCGTCCACAGGATCTTTGTGAGCAGTTTGGTGTGGTGTGCGAGGCGAGCCTCTCCGGATGTGACTCACTGTAAGCAATTCTTCAGTTGTTGTTTACGCAACAATCAAGCTTGCAAAGCTTGCACAGACCGTGAGGCACCAAACTGGTGCTATGATCCAGGCCGAGCCCTGTGATCACATGCATGTGGATGTCATCGTAATTTCTGGCTCGGCTGCTTTCAGGCAGATGTGACCCAAAGACGGGACAGTGTAGCGAAGCTGCGAACCTCACTGTTGTTTAAGATGTGTAGCACATTAACATCTGCACTTGCTTGCACGCCAGACACTGGCTCCCGGATATCGCCCTTGCAATGACCAAGACCCTACAACCAGCAACGATTCGCGATGCTGGCATGCTTTTTTGCAGCCTTCTGCAGGCCTTGTCTTCAACGGTGCTAGCTGCTAGATGGGGCACCGCCTTGCTCAGGTGCATTGAGGGTGTCTGTATGGGCATGCTTGCTGATGGATACCAGCCGGCCCGACCTGGTTGCTTACGTCTTGCCTGGCCATGGGGCTCAACTGTTGGGAGATCTTAAGCATTACCAGGTATCAGACAATTGGAGCCGGTGAATGCCCTGAGCTTATGCTGCAAGCGGGTACAATGTCATCATTCAGAAGGAGTGTCTGCGACTTCGCAGCCTATCTGCTCGTCACAGTTCCTGGCATTCTTGAAGAACGATCATCCAAGGTGTTGATCGTGAGAATCGCCGCATGGCCCGCTATGCTGGAGATGTAAAGGTGCTGGGGTAGTTGGAGTAGTCTGAGCGGGAACATGCGCTTGCATTGGGTGTATTCGGCTTGCTTTGGATGTGTGCTGGCAGGATCAAATGGAGTGCGAAAGGATTTGCACAGGCGGGGCTTGATGCTGCAATCTCTTCCTCTTAGAACAGATGATTCACTGTGGTGTTGTATCGAGCATTCTGAAGGGCAGTGAAATCTATGCATCGGCCACAAGGTGATCCGCAGTGTGCTGGCTATGCATACAACTTCCCCTTGCCCCGGGCTCATAACCTGCAGAACCTTCAATTATAAGGCATGGGCTCCCAGAAAATGTTCTGCATTGCAAATTGTAGTGGTGTAGTTGTCGGGCGGCATCAGGTAGAGGTTGATGCATCGTAGATGCAATGGGGACACAGATGCAGCTGTCGTGCAACTGAGGTGCAGCATTTACGGGACAGTGCGCACAAAGACGCCAATGGAATTGCCGTGGTGGTCTTTCCAGGCCCAGCATCGAGCTTGTGATGTGCATTATAAAATGGCCGCACTTTCCCTGCCAAATTGAATTTCAGAGGCGGGCACCGACCCGTTGGGCGTCATCATTGAAGACTCACAGGTGATGACTGATGTGCGCCACGGCTGATTCCAACTAGAATCAAACTAGCATTTAAAGGGGGCAGCATCGTGCATGCATTTCGTGATGGCTTAGCCAGCTTCGATTACGGCTACTGGAAGACATACTTGCAATCGCAGCACCTGCTAAGCCTCCCAAACTCGGAGCACTTTGCTATGTGCAGTGTGAACCGCTGCCAACAACATGCTGATGCAATCGTAATTTCTCCTCATTGTAAATTTGGCGCTACCTTGGCTATCTGGCAGCTTATGCCTAACCTCATGCGTAGGTCTAGTTTCTGGGTTGCCAGTCCTTTGCAAGGGAAGCGGCAGCGGGACTGGAATCTGTCATGATTGATCCATCATGCTGGAAATTGAGGCAGAGAAGGTCCATCTGCCGAAGGAAGGGGGTGGTGCCAGATCGGATCACATCGCCTTCAGATATCGAGGCCTGCCCCTTGCACGTACACCGCAACACCGCTAGATTTGCCAAACGGCAGGTGTCTGCCGACGAGTTCTTTTCGCCCGTCAGGCTGCACTGGGACGCAGGCCAGCACACAGAAGCGGTGGCACAATTCCTGCTGCAGGATCGGTATCTTCTTCTTGGTCATCCTCGGCTGTTTCTTTGCTCTGCAGTGATCTCAGGGTCGCCACAAGCACAACGGGCCGCAAGGACTCCTCCAACTGAGTTGCCAGAATGGCTCAACAGCCTGTTACAACGTTTGTGTCCAAGCCGACTGTCAGACTGAGACACAAGGCCATTGACTGATTACATCTCCCGGCTGCTGAAGTGCCGGCGGGGTGCTCTGTGCAGGAAGTATGGTTAATGAAGAGCTGCTGGTCCTTTAAACGTGTACCAAGGAAAGATCCCCTAGAGGAGCTGGCATCACAGGCATTTGGGAAGAGGAAGATTAGTTGTCCGTGGCTTGCAAACCTGTCTGTCAAACGTGAATATGCATTTGTCATGACAACGAAAAAGCCTCTGTGTCCATACAGTTGATCGGGGAAAGGAGCGTTACGGGATGCGACGTCACTGTGGCAGAGATCACGCAACAATGCCAACGGCAAGACATCCTGTCCACACTTTGTTTTTTGGAAACACTTTCGGGGGCTGCGTGGATGAGGGCCTCGACCCAAGAGCTCCCCAAGGCGTTTCGAAGGCTCCCTGGAATTTCTTGAGCGTTTTTGCTGCGTGCCGCCTGCCTTGGCCCGGCTCGACACGGGGTGCCGAGGAAGTAGATGGTAGACAAAGAACATGTAGGGTTCAGGGGCCCCTGAAAGGGGTAGGTGGCGTAGGTAACTAGAGTTTTAGCGGTCCCTTTAGAGGGATGTATAGGAGTAGGGATTTGTTGGGTCGAGGGGCCCCGTTAAGATTTGAGAGGGGTGCATAGGGTATAGGCAAGGGAGATTTAGGGTCTAGGGTGGGTGCATAAGGGGTATGGATAGGGGATCTTTCGGGTTTTGGGGTCCGGGTCCCTTCAGAGGGGCGCATACAGGGTACATGCAAGGGATATTTGGAGTTGAGGAGCCCATCTAGAGGGAGCAAGGGGGCCCGTGAGAGGGATGCAATGATGTAGAGACAAAGGCTGATTGAGGGGCACCTTCAGACTCTACAGGGCACATAGTGGGTATAGTTACGGGATACTTAAGGTTTGGGTGTCCGTTGAAGAGGGTAGGGGGAATGGGCAATGAGGGTCGTGCATAGGGCATATAGGGAGCAAGAGATTTTTGGCATCAGAAGGGGTAGGACAATTTGGGGTTTGCAGGCCCCTTTCGAGGGTTTATAGGGGGGCTGGGGTTGAAAGGGGTGCATGGGGGTGTCTCTCGGGAGGGCTGGGCGAGTGTTGGCGCCCTCGTCAAGGTGATGTGAGGTTGCGATTGAATAACACACATTCTCATGTTAGCGGGACCGGTTTTTGCGCACTGAATGTTCCAAGGCTTTCCCTCGCACAGCTGGCAAACGCTTGCAGGGTGTGTGCACACATGCTGCGCCAGGTAGCGCAGGATCCAGGGAAGCACGAAACCGGCGTCCGCATGGAGCAGCCAGTTCCTCAGGTTCAAGCGTCCGTGCATTCAGCATGGCACGTCAGACCAGAGACAGCTCTCATGGCTGTCACCAAATGTTTACTTACCGATTTCCTTAGATGTGAGGACCCCTCGCAGCCAAGATCAGCTTGCACTTGAGCAGGACTTTGGTATGCTTTATTGCCAGAACCAGGCTAGCTGGAAATTTTCTGGGCTTTCAAGCTGATAAGTTTGCTGCAAGAAGCCCATCAAGCAAAGCGTCGAGGAGGAGTATCCAGGACTCGAAGGCCTTCGATACACAGCCGATGCAGATGATCCTGTTCTGCCAAACGAGGCGCAGAGACGGGCAGCCAGCGGTTTGTTGGTCAGTGCAAAGCTGTCACAGTAAGCTGCCAAAGTTAGAGCCACACCCTGAGGCGTCACCATACGAGGACCGACCTGATCCGTCGCTTGCTTGGAACCGACCTGTCATGCACATCTTATCTCTATTGCAAGATAGCTGCATGCGATGAGGCCTCCTGATACACCGCCCAATCCTCCGGGAATGGTTGCTCCTTGGGTGAATTTGACAACAAACCTGTCCACAGAAGCAGGAAAGACAGAAGCTCCAGGGAGGTAGACCAAGTCAGGATCCTGAAGTCGTGCGCAGATCAACTGCTTAGGACGGTCGTTAAGCTTGACGTGAACATTCCGCAGCCAAGCTTCTTCGCAGTGCAAGCTGAGACAGGGGTATGTTGCAGATGCCAATTCATGACCCGCATGGTCGTGCAGAGCTGCATGTATACAACCGTGTACGTAGGTGTATGGAGATTGCTGTTAGCAGAAATTGTTGTTTTTGGCAGTTCTGGGCCTGTGAAGCAGACCCATACAAAAACAAGATTCGATGCCACCCAAGCGCATCAGAGTAACCATGCACGGTCATAGGTTTTTCGAGCCTCTGGATTGTAGATGTAGACCGTGAAGAAAAGCATGGTTCCTCACACTCTAGCCAGGTGCCCTCTGTCGCGCAAAGTGCTGCAGATGCTGTAAATGAAATTGGCAGGGCCTGCCCGTGCACGCCCCAGCCACGCTCAAAGAGTGATCAACTGAAAAAGCTTGAGGCAGAACTTCTTTGACTTCCTTGTTGCGTTGAGACGTCCATGCTTCAACCTTGCGGACCGCCAAGAGATCTAGGTCCTTTGCCCTTCAAGATTCTGCTCAGCTATCAGTGCAGACGCTTGCTGCTCAGCCATCTAGGCAATGCAACACTGCCGATGCGGTTAGATGCTGTCAGGCTTTAGAAAGACACCAGGCTGAATTGCTGCAGCACATGTGCTGTCAGGAATGCCCATGAGCTGAAGCATCGCAACACCAAGAGCGGTCAGCACTTGTCACAGTTGATACCTTGTGCCGGCAATGCCAGACCCGTCCCTCACAACAAGGTCCAGAGCAAGCGCATGCGGCAACACTCCAGCCAGTTGTGCCAAAACTGACGCCGGCTGCAAGGCATGCTCACATAGCGGTGATCGGTGCTGGGTGGTGGTCGCAGGGCTGGCATCTTCCACATTTGAGTAGAAATCCACGTCGCTTCCACAGACTCTTCCTTATCAGACTGGCAGACCAGAAGAAAACTGGCTTGGCCTGCCCTGTGCCAAGTTGCGGAAATTTCAGCTATTGTGGAACCATGTGAAGCTCCACGAAGACTCCTGGCTACATCTAATGAGGTGCAGTTTACAAAGCTGGCTCAATCTCCTGAACCACGGACCGGCTGCTTGCTTCGTAAGGTACACTGAACCCGGACATGCAGACGGTTGAGGAGCTGAAAAGTACATATGGCGTGCCCATATTCAAGACTTTTGATTCGAGCTCAGTCTTAAGAACTGCTGCATCATATTCACAAGGCTTGGAGGCACTTGGCATGCATTTGCATTTGTGTGAACTTGCTTTTTATTTGCAAGGACGAGTTTTTGCAGTCGCCGGCGGCAGCCCACACGGATGGCGTGGTGGTGGCTACTTCCCACTCGGCCCATGCTGAAATTGGCTTGAAAGCCTTGGGTGCTGGCTTCCATGTTTTCATGGAGAAGCCCATGACTACCGACCCTGCCGAAGCTAGCAGTCTTGCCAAAGCCGCAGCTGACCAAGACAAAGTTTTCTTGGTCAACAACACTGCTAACTTCCGCGACTCTGCCGAGCAAGTTCGTGAGGTGGTCAAAGGCCCATCAGCCTGTTCTCCTATGTGTCGTGGAATCTGTGAGCAAAGTAGGCAAGCATGTCTGCCACACGACGCAGCTCTGTGAATGTGAGGCAAGCTTGGCACCATCAAGTTCGCACAGGGCTCCTCGCCAAGATGCTGCAGCATGTTGAGCCAATCACCAATCAGCACACTCCATCACACAGAGCTGCTTTGCAATATCAATGAGGTTTTATGGCCTGTCCGCTGCTCTGGTTGTTCGAGAACCCAGAAAATGGGGGCTGGGTCCGACCTTCTGGAACCATGGAAGGAGCGGTTTGCTTTGGCTTTCCTGCTGAAGCATGGGTCCTTCTGAACACAACTACGCTCAGAGCGTTCTTTGATTCTGACTGGCCAAGGGCAAGGTTTGGCAGTACCATGTGCTGCTTCAGCTACTCAAGAAAATTGTAGCCTGCATTGGCAATGACGACAAGCCACATCACTCAAAAAGCTTGTCTGGAGATGTCACGGGGAGGTTAGACACCCGAACGGCAGACTTGAAAGCATGAGAAACCGCGCGCGCTCGTCTAGAGACCACAGCACTCATTCTTCAAGCGCAACTTGCTGATGTGCCCAAAACAAAGCACCAGAGTGCACATGGCCATCCGTAGCTTGGGCCTCTTCACTTGCCGCATGAAGCTGCATTTGCTTCCAAGCAAGACCAGCTTGAAGGAAATGGCTTCGGATGGGGACAGATGTCTCATGCATTGGCCTGGCTCTTCTATGTCACAGAGCTGGACCCAAAGAGCCTTCTTGTAAGTATGCAGGCGAGAGCGACATGCTAAGTCATGCCAGAGTGGTGCAAGCAAGGACCGTGTATTGCAGCATGGTTTTGTCGGAGAAGACTGGAGCTGACATCTTCGACACTGCCATTATTCAGTGCTCGTGTGGAGCAACTCACCTGGAATCAGCTGCGCAGTGGTTGCAGCAAACAAAGCCGTTCGCGACTTATGTCTGCAGGCTATCCTGAACGTGCAGGGTACAGCCTCTTTGCCTTTCCAGTGTCTTGGGTTGACATGGCTGTGTTGTCAGTCTTTTTGGAGGTTGCCAAGCGGGTGCCTTGTGAGACATCTCACCAAGTCACTTTTCCAACCCCTGTAGCTGTCATCGACCCCCGCAGAGCTTCGCAGAGTTCCCTCAGCGCGCAGATATATGAGAAGCAAATCTCATCACGGTTTGCCCTTAGCTCACAGCTATCAACTTCGCCCCAGCGGTGCTGTGCACGGAAATGTTACTCGAATTTACGCTTCAGACCTTGTGAGAAAGTCCAATGACCAGGACTTTTGCTTCTGCATATACAGCCCAAAATTGCTTCCAAAGGTGTGAGATGGAGGAGTGGTGTTGGTGTGGTGTCGTCTCGTCGTGTTGGCTACAGCTGATGAAGACGGATTTGTGTTATATGCTGGATATATGCCTTGCACGGAGGTCCTACTCCAGTTCCACCAAGAAGATCGATATGAAGATCTTCGGTTCCGAAGGAGTGGTGACGTACAGCGGGGAGGACACTTCGCAAGACGCAGCTCATTGTTCAATCCCCTTGACATCTTCGTGCAAAGGACATGCATCCTTCATCAGGGGGACTGAGAGTGCAGCTTCATGATGGCAGTGAGCATTACATTCCAGGCCTGGACTGCCAAGATTTGCTCATGCTCTATCATCTTTCATTGGCAAAAGATATACCAAAGTGAGATCGGATATGAGCCGGCTTGGAATCATGTTCTGGCATGTCCCCTGGGTCTGAGGCTTCTATTTCGAGAACTACGATTCTGAAGGAGATGGGCCAGAATCACTCCAGTCATTCATCAAAGGCTGCGGCTTGCTTCAACCGTCTCTTCGACAAAATCCTGTCTCAAATTATTCTACTTTGCTAAGCTTGCGCAAGAAGCCGACACTGTTCTACATTGGCCATTCATTGCATTCTGCAATGCTTGCTTCAACAAGGCATGAACCAACCTTTTACCAATGCCGCTGACGTGCTTCTGGGAAAGAAGGCAGGAGAGCCTTCTGAATTGTGGTCGTGCCGCTGGTTGCTTACTGTTATCTTAAACCCAGAACTGTGGGAAGCTGCCAGTGAAGTCTGTACATGCATGATATGCTTTCAGAGTATCATGATGGATATTGATGGACATCGTGGCAAGGGCAGCTGGCCTATAAACACGAGCCAGCTTGGAAGCTTCGATTTTTTTTTCGGTAGGTGCTTGTGTCTTCATAGTTCGGAGGTGGTAAGTCCATTGGGATGGCACCTACACAACAGGGCGGATGGTCGGCGCAGATACTCCGATGGCCGAGCAAGCCTTTCAAACACATAAGATCTTCTGGTGTAATGTAGGCATTGCGTAGAGGCCGGGTGGGTAAACTGTCACATGGTCTTGGTTGCCCGTGAAGGCGAATTGGAAGCACGGCAGGCAGCACAAAGTTCTTGCTCTTGCCGCAGGTTGTGGACACCATCCACAGCATGTACCGCAGTGCCAAATGTGGAAAGACGGTGACAATTCCTGCATCATGAAAATTTACATGACTTCAAACCTTATGCCTAACTAGATTTCAGATTCAGGTGTTCAGGAGATCCACTTGATAAGATGCTCGAAGCAGCTCGACGCATTCTCTCATGAGCAGCATGCCCGTTTACATGCAACGCATGCTTCTTCTAGATATCCCAGATGAATTCTCAAGATAGTGGAGTGTTGCATGCTTTTTGATCCATGATATTTCTTGGAGCATGATGAACTTGGTTGAATGTTAGGACTTCTGCATCTGTTCAAGCGAAATCCGGTACGTTAAGTTTCGGCGGTTTTTTTTACTAAATTCTTTGGATGTGTTGAAAGCTGATACTCATGGTATTCGTAGGGAAAGAGAAGTCTGCAAGCGCTTATTTTCTTGAATCGAGTTTCATATTTGTTCTGGTTTCTTGGATTTGATTTCATGTCCATGAAGAGGATTTCGAGGAATGGCAGCTACTATATGTAGTAATTATGAACCTTCGGAAAGTCCCGTTTTGGCTCTGGCGCAAATCCTTCCGGATTGCCACTGTCCTCTTCCCAGCCTCCTGGCCTCTTGTGGGGCCTAGAGGCGCTAATCTCGAAAAAGCTAGGTATTCTTGGAATTCTTGAAGATTTTCGTTAGGAAATCCTGGAGTTTTGGTAATTCGCTGGCTTCAAAAATTGCTGATTTTTTGACAATCGCCGGACCCGCATCATCCATCATGTTGACCTAGAATTGTTAGCGGCAAGGCCCGGGTGAACGGCAAGAGATCTGATCTGCCTGCCTGTCTATTTGTCTGTCGGTCTCTATCTTATTTTCTCTATCTCTCTATTTTTGCGTGTCAGCAGCGATTCAAGGGTAAGAAAGTCGTTTACTAGGATTCGTTTTACGGAAAAAAAAATCGCAGAATCTATATTCCAGGATTTCCATTAGCTTTTATATGCTAACGATTTTATATAGAGAGATTTCATGATTTCTTTTGCGAATCGTAACTGGCACTTGGAATTGGAATGGTAAAATATTTCTTTTGCGATTTATTGAAAATTACTCTTATATAATTGATCGATTTTCAATTTTTTTATTCGATTGAATATTTCTTGATATTTAAGCAATTGATATTTAGAAAATATCTAGGCTATTTGCATTGAGAATATATAAATGAATCTATGGGGATTATAATTAGCTCAGCATTCATTAAGATTATTATATTTTATTATATTTTTCATTTATTTTGGATTAGATGTTTCTATATTCTTCTTGATATTGATTCATTTGGGGGATTGTCAAAATTATGGTCTCTGTTGGGGGTCGCTTAAATTAAGCTTCGTATTATAATAGGGTCCCAAAGAGAACCATAATTTTGATAACCACCCATTTGAGCGTTGATTAATTTTTGAATTTCATTTATAAAATAGGACTGATTTCTTTTTTCCGCTCTTACGTATTCATTAAATTATTTCGATACGGAGTATCGATTTTCAATTCTAAATTATGAAATGCGTTCTCGCTCGAGAGGCGATCGAATTAGATGATTAGTTTTTATTATAAAAATAGTTAAATTACGCGTAAAATCGATTTATTTCGAATCTCTATTTATTTTTTGTTATTTTCAAATTATTTTGACAAATTTGGTTCTCATCTGGAATATAGCAAATATTTCTTTGCTTTTTATTGATTTTTTTACGGATATTTAATATCCGAAAAAAAATGAAATTGCGTTCTCACGTGGAATTTCTTCATAATTTTTATGATATCTTAAGAGGTCGCGTTTTTATTCGAAATATCTTCAAAATTTCGTCGATTCTCATTTTCTTAAGGGCGGAATGCTTGGGAGGATATTTTAAGAAATATTTGATATAGGATTCTTTGATTCCGTTTGTCGAATATTTGATCTTTTTTAGAAAAAAATCTTTTATTCAATTATTTCATTCAAATTCGTTCTCTCTTTCGACATTGCGCTCTCATATGAAATATCTTGAAAATTTTGAGAAATCGATATTTCAAATTCGTTTTCTCATTCGATATATCTTCGGAAATTATATTTTCTTTTAATGAAAATCGAAATCTCGTATTGAACATATCGGAAATATTATCTTTGGAAGCTGATTTTGAAGAATAGCCACTCATTATCCCTGCAATATCTATTCGCCAAAAATCCGTAATGCCCAATCGTAGAATATCCCTATAATGCCCATTTATTAAATATCCTTGCAGTGCCCAATCCGCGAGTATTCCCGCAGGGCCCAATCCCAGAATATCTTTGAATTATCTAATGGTAGAATATTTTTCTATGATTCAGTTGCTAAATATCCTCGTAATGTCCATTCGCAAATTATCCCTATAGAATCTATTTGCAAAATATCCCTATAGCGCTCTATTATAGAATATCCTTGTAATATCTAATCTATAGGGCTCATTCGAAAAATATCCCTGTAATATCTATCCGCAGAATATCCCTAGAGTGTCCAATAATAGAATATCAATATTCTTGCAGCGTATTTATAGCGTAGCAAAGAAGATAATTGAGGGGGGCGTGGCAGGAAAATATTATAGTTATTTGGCAATAACGGTCCTAGGATGGGGATGATCGAAATGAATAATTGATAGATTTACTTTTGAATATCGCGCTCCCGTTCGAGATATCCTCGAAATTTCGTCGATTCATCTTATCAAGGATATTTTTCTTGAGATTATGATTTAATATAGGCCCGATATAGATTTTACCATATTCATCGTTAAAAATTTGATTTTCTAAAAAAATATTTCTATACCACTTCTATACTAAATTGATCCACTCCAGATCGTTCTCTTATGATCAAAAT